AAATATCTGAACCATTATTTTATGGGACAAATGATTAATTTGGATTGTGAATTGATGGAAATCTGTGTCTTATATTTTGAACTCCTCTCCAAATCGAAGAGATAAAAATTTATAACAATCGGAATCAATTTGAAGTTAAGACTTCCAAGTGTCATTTGACATTGGAATTAATGTAATACTTTAAAAAAAAAAAAAAGAAGATAAACACAAAGAAAAAAAAATTAAAAACAAAAATTGAACTTAGATATAAATATTTTTATGATTCTTAGTGGTCCTACATGCGATTTTTTCTCTTATTTGTGTTTGTTTTTCTGCTCAAAATAGACTTATTTACTTATAAAATAAGTATTGGTAGCAGAATTTTTAAAATATTCACAATACTTACTTAAAAATGTGCTTGAAAACTTCACAATTCTTTTTTCAAAAGGAACACTTTCCTCGAATGTGCCTGGTAATTTGGTAAGTTACACAGAAAGGGTGCGTTTAACAGAGGAGACATTAACCAAGGAAGGGATATCTGGTACCGGCTCAATCAATGGCTTTATGGCTTCATGATTCAAGTCAGATTGATTGGTCAATTTGGCGGGAATGGGTGGAGAAGGAAAAGCCAAAGATTTGTCTAGTTCAGGGGAGGTGAGTACTGTGAGATTTCTTGGGGAAATAAACGCGAAAGGATGGAGATCCTGGTGGGGGAGTTCCAAACACAAAGGAGATGGAAAACACATGTCCGTTTCATTTATGATCACAACAACCGGATAAGGTATTACATCAGTATCCTCTTCAGTGCTTTTGGCTTTCCGTCCATTAACTCCATGAACTATAAGACAATATTTTTTTTTCCATTTTGATCCTTTTTTTGTTTCATTTTGATTACTTTAATCCTTTTTTCTCTGTTTTTTTAATTAAAAAACTAAGACAAAAAAAAATATTTAGAAAAAATAATCTACAAAATCAGTTTTTAAACAAGAATTCATTGATTTTGAAATTTTTATATTATTATAATTTTTTTAGTTTGTGAATAGAGATAAATAAATAATATTTTTATAAATTTTTTAGTCAAATCCAAATTTTTTATTCAAAAATTATAAAATTGAATTAATTTTTATTCAGTTTTAATTTGATATATTTTAATATATGAACAATATAACACGAAATATTAAACTAAAATAACTATGTCTTTTATTTGATCTACGGTGTAATGCGGATAAAACAATTATTTATTGGATAAGTAGTAAAAGAATTGATGAGCATGAACTTTTTGCTAATGTATAGAGTTTAAATTCTGGAATTATATTTGTTTGAAAGGATTAAATTTTATTACTCTCGTTTCAAACAAAATTAGTTTTATATCCGTTGTGGGATATGAGTGTATCGATAAAAACTAAAAAATAAATAAATTATGTGTTATTTTAATTTGTAAATAAATTGTTTGATTTAATTTAAAATCCATTGTTAAGTCCATTACTTGACAGATTCATTTGATGGTAAACAAATTTATAATATGATATAAAAGAATTAATAATATACATATAATTTATCTTCTTAATGAAAGACAAAAAATAAACAAAGGATCGAATGTAGATTACTTGACCATCACCATTGAACCTTCCCCTGCCATCAAATTAACAAAGATAGAAAAGAATACCTATAGACCCACATTTATACTCCCAAAAAGAACAAGATCCTACATATATGACTCTTTTTCTTCCATTAAATCTCTGGTTGTTAAATCTCATTGTGGCGAGTTCTTCAAAATCAATTTGTCATGGGCTTGCGATGAGTATAGATGGCAATGACAGGGAAGCTATCCATTAATTCAAAATTTTACACTATCAATTAAGAGAATAGTTTACTTATTATTTATTAAAAATCATTATATAGATATTTATTGAGTGTATATCCGATTCATATTAATTTAGTCATCCATTTAATACTTGCTAAATTTATGTTGTTAAAAATATTTATTTTATTCTTTATAATTTTCAAAGAAAGTCTTTTGGTCCTTAAAATTTAATTTTTTTTTATTTTAATCATTTATTTATAATTTTTTTATCCTCAAAGTTTTTGAAAAAATATTTTGATCTTTAATTTTTAAATTTTATACAATTAAATTCTTGCATGTTTATAAAAAAAATATAAATAAATTATCGTGTATGAATAGAGTAAAGAGTATGTACCTATATACCGAAATCATATTAATGAATATATATTTTTTTATTTTTATCTATTTTAATATTTATTAAATATTTTTAATAAATATTTATTGAGTTCGATAAAATAAATATTTATTTTATATTCGACCGATTAACGTCTCTTGCGATCAATGAATTGTGGAGATTGATGGCTTGCTGTGGCAGCTAATGAATAGAGGTATTCTAGGATTATTATTTTTTTAATATATATATTTTTTATGAGAGCATGGGGATGTTGTAACTGATGTGGTAGTCACGAGGTTGGGTTTGTGATGGTTTGGAATACTGACATTAATAATATCCTAGAATAAAAAATATAGGTTAAGGGTTAGAAAAATGATCAATATTTTGAGCTCGAGCTACATGGATAAAAAATATAGGCATGCCATTGGATAATGCTTAGGGTCACGTAACTATCCAAAGTTGCGAAAATCGAAATTTGATGGACTGAATATGAAATTGATATTGTGCTGAATTCAATTCAAATATACAATTCTTAATCTAGAGTAACTAATTAATCCCAAAAAGTAAAATTTATTTTTTTTCTTTTTGTTTTTTGTTCAAAATTTTATTGATGCAAGGTATTGGAATTAGAATTGAAGATTTATTTGAAGTACGTAACTAATTTTTTTACCCGTGTTATACTACGGATCGGATAAAATATATAAAATTATTTTTTAAAAGTTATTTTAGTTTGATGTTCCGTCTTATATTGAACATATACGAAGATATATTAAACCAAAATTGAATAAAAAATCATTTAATTTTTTAATCAAAATTGTGTATTTGACTAATTATTCTTCTATATTTTTCATAAAATTTTGATTAAAAAATATTATTTATTTATCTCTATTCATAAACTAAAAAATTTATAATAATATAAAAAATGTCAAAATTAATAGATTCTTAGTTAAAAACTTATTTTGTAAATTATTTTTTCTAAAAAAAATTTGCCTTAATTTTTTAATTAAAAAAATCGAGAGAAAAAAAGAAATGACCAAAGTGATCAAAATAAAACAAAAAATATTTACGGACTAAAAAAATAATATTTAAAACGAGGGACCAAAGTATAATATGACGAATATTTTCATAATAATCGTATTTAAAATATTTAAAAACTATAAAAATACTATCATATAGTGAAAAAAAGACATCCGAGTATTGGTGAATAGTACAAATGATTTTAGGTAAACGATGTTTTAAATAATATAGTGAATAGTAATCAATCTTTTTACTTTAGTGTTTTCGTTAATCGGTGACGATGGAAGCAAGCAAACGAGATGAAATTAGGAAACTACGAGTCTTGTCTTTTCTTTTTATTGATTTTTTTAATTTTTTGAGAGTCATATGAACTTACATGATTATTGTAAGAAACCATAAAATGCCAAGAGCCGGAAAAAGAATGGCTTGGAAAACAACGAGGGTAGGTTTTTTTATGCATTATTTTATTATTGAAATTAATTTTTAATTTTTTTACTAAGACATAAAAATTATTTTTAAAAAATTATAATGTCACGTGTCAATCACCGATGAATAGAGTTTTGATATCGAGCAAGTTTGAGACAGAATTATGAAGCATAATGACAAGCATCATAAACAAGCCAACAAGTTTAGTAGACCTCCCACATTTAAAGAAAGAGTCCAAGTTTGGACTCACTAAAGGAAGGAAAGATTTCCTCCAAGGCCATATGCCAAGTTTAAGCCAAGAGTAAACAAACCTTTTTGAGTTGTGAAGTGAGTCGATGAGAATGCCTATAAAATTGAGCTTTCAAAGAATTAAAATGTTTTGCCAACTTTCAATGTTGTCGATATTTCACCCTCTTATGATGAAAAAGAAAGTTAAGATTTCGAATACGAGTCTTCTTCAACTTGGGAAAGCTAACACAAAAATATCTTATTTTCACACTTTATTATTATTATTAGGCATTTATTTTCTATTCATGTTTCGAGTTAATTTATTAGTATGGTATTAAGATTTGTAAGGTTATTTTAATTTTTTTTTTAAATTGAAAAACTTATCCTAGTTGTTCAGGGATGGCAAAACTTATGTGCGAAGTTTTATAAGACAAAATACTATTGCTATTTAATTCTCTCCATTATTGCGACTCATTATATTCTTAGGGTTACGTTCTTCTTTATCTATGAATTGATCCCCTAATCTAATGATTGTGATCTTTAAAAGTTTAAGTTGTAGTGAAATTTCTAACCTTATCATAATCCATGTGAGTTACTGATATCGATATTGGTGATAGCTATGTTCGTTGGTCGGTTGGTGGTAATAAAGTTTTTAGCTAAAAGAAGATACAAAGGTAGCAAATTATGATGTTTAGACAAGTTGAATTTTCAAGGCATGTTTGGCTGGGGGGTGGGTGTGTGGGGTTATATAAAGTTAGCTGTTTTTCTTCTTCTTCTTCATTTTGTTTTAGCTATTTATCTGGGCCTTTTTTCTCCTTATTATTTTTTGAGTGGGCCTGCAGGTTGGCCCAATCCTAACAGGCTAAGTCCTTCCGAAATTTTCTCTCTTTCTTACGATTTTTTTATTTATTTTTATTTCTTGTTTGCTTGAAAAAGAATATGTGAAAACCATACAAAAAAGAAAAATAGGGAGATACATGAAATAACTAAAAAAAAAGGTGCAAAGGAAAATATATCTGAGCCTTTTCTTGGATTTTTCTAGATTTTTTGAATTTGTTTTGTAAAAATAAAATGTAAAAAAGGGTCATAATACAAATAAAAGTAAAAGAGATACAAAATTAAGCATACAATACGGAAAAAAAAAAAAACTTTTCGCCTCCCGCCTCCGTGAAAATGGGCTCCCGGAGGTACCTTCGTTTGAAGGAAAGGACAATTTCTGACGTGGCAATTGGCGTGCACCAACTTTGGGAAGGAGAACGCACCGTATTATTGTATGTTGTGCGTGGTAAATTATAAATTAGTCCCTCTTGTTTAGAGAAACGAATTAATTAGTTAGTCCCACTTGTTTTAATTCTATCAATAACTTAATCAATTAATCAAAATTTTTAATTATATTAATGATTTTGCTTCTCAAATTATCATTTTTTAATTTTTAGTTAAGGAACGAGTAAGAAGATAGGTAAAAAAAGATAAATAAAATATAAAAAAGAAAAAAATTAAAAAATTACTAATGAAAAAATAATAAAAATACTAAATTATTGAAAAATTTTAAAAGATATGAGATTAAATAATTATTTTTAAAAAAATTAATTAATTCGTTTCTCTAAACAAGAGGGACTAATTTATAATTTACTCTGTTGTTGTGCGGAAAAAAAAAAAAAGAACTACGAGGATGCTCCTAAGGCATGAAATTCTTCGCTTATTACCCTATTTCTTTTTCTTTTCTTTTCTTTTTTTTTAAATGAGCGAAATTCTGAAATTCTAGTAGTCTGAATTGGTAATTTTCTCTCTGGGAATATGCTTGAAATTGCCTAGTCCTGGTGCTGCTGCGGCCTTCTTTTTTTTTTCCTTTTTTTTTTAGCAACAGGGAATTTTTTTCGAGTAATTCTAAAAAATCAATCTTAACAACGTTAGGTTTGATTGCGATTCGGAATGGCTATTGCTGGTTCTTTGCAATTTTCCCATGATTTGGGGTTTTGCAAGAACCATACATCCAACAACAATAATAAACAATTTTTCAAGGTATTCTTTCGTGTCTTATGCTTTTTTTATTTATTTAATTCATAATATGATTTCCTTAATTCTTCTTTCTTCTTCTTCCTTCTTCTTCCTTCTTTCAGAGGATATTATTAGCGAGGGGCAAGCTTCCTTTATTAAGCAACAGCTTCCTCAAGGTAATTATTTCTTTAAGCTATTCTTTTTATTGTTGGTGTTGCTAATTTTAGGGTTTTTTTTTTTGTTGGATATGCTTAAAATTCTTGGACAAACTGAAGTTTTAGGTTTTGTCTTTTTTTAATTTTTCTGCTACAGTTTCGGCACCATGATTATTCGAGCAGCAGTCGTCGTCTGTCGCGAACCTTTTGGCCGCCAATCCATTCTGTATCATTCAATAAAAGTAATAATAATGCTTTTAGATGCCGTTCGTTTTTAGTACCACGCCAAGTCTTTGAACTTGCTGCTGTGAAGGCTGCTTCCGTGGCATTGACGAGGTAGTCTTCTTTCTTTCCATGGCTTTGCATTGAGCAAGCTACTGATATCTTTGCTAATACTCTGTATTGTTAAGCAGGTCCTATAATGTTTTACAAACTAGTCCTCTCATTTTTAAGTTAGCTCCAGGAATTGGTCTTATTGTATTTGCTGTATGGGGTCTGGGGCCGCTGATGCGTCAGAGCCGAAACCTACTACTTCATGTATGCTCACCCTGTTTAAGTTTATGGCATTGTTTTGAGGTTGTTACTGTTGTGTGATTTTATTTATAATGTTTGCATTGTCTTGCAGAAAAGAGACAATAGTTGGAAAAAGAGTCGCACTTATTATGTGATGGTCTCTTATATTCAGCCTTTGCTGCTGTGGACTGGTGCAACACTTATTTGCAGGTTTAACTATCATCACATTGTTAAAGTTGCAAGAAAAAATGTCGACTTTCTGGTCTTAAATGAACAACCTATTGTCCAATAATTGAATGTTGTAATTGATTACAATTCGGTTTCTTGCAGGGAACTGGATCCTGTTGTTTTGCCTACGGAAGCTAGCCAGGTTGTCAAGCAGAGGCTTCTGAATTTTGTAAGATCATTGTCGACTGTGCTCGCATTTGCTTATTGTTTATCAAGGTGACTCTCATTCTCTTTTCCTTGATATTCTTTTTATTTTGTTGGATGAGATCATCACTCAAATTTGACTCCATAGACTGAAACCATGGAGGTCTTCACCTTATCGATTTCTTGTGCTTAGGCTGTTTGCATATCCTCATTTTTCTTTTGCCAGGGTGACCTCTTGCTTTCCACTTTCACAATAATTCTTCCATTACTGTAATGTAATCTGCTTTCATGACTAATTTATCTTGTTCTTTGGAGCATTGTGATCAATTTAAAATGTTTTGGCTCTTCTTTGAGGATGATGTTCCTAGTTATATTGTTTATTGACAGTAGCTTTAATGAAAACTAAACATGAGCAAACATTTCTTTGCAGCATGATTCAACAAACTCAAAAGTTCTTCATGGAGTCTACAGAGCATGGTGATGCAAGAAATGTATGTTTTGCATGCAAAAATATAATTGTTTTCTTCTCTTCCATCTTTGAATCTTTATCACTATTGTGCCTTTGAATGTTCATCACTGGCTCCTGGCTTTCTGCATGAAGATCATTTTGCTTTTTCTCATGATCTTTATGCTTTTCAAGTTATTTTTCTGTAGATCTTGTGCACAAAATTTGGTTAAATTAGTCATGATACCCCATGGAATAGGTTAAGAAATATTATAGTCTGGTTACATTATTTGTGATATGATATGGATTCCATTATCCTCATGATGCAGGACAGCTTTGGGGGCTGTTCAGAATCTGACTTTCATAGGCTGTTTAGCTCCGTGAACAGTGGAGTGAACAGTAGTTTTATTGAGTTGATCCTTCGATGTTTAATACCTATAGGATTGATGGGACTGGAACGTATGGACATTGGGAACTCAATGGAGATTGTTTGATGGTTGGAATATAAGTTTGAGTAAGGTTCTTCGGAGTCACACCTAAAGGGAGATTGAGTCACACAACCAAAAGCAAATTGCTGGAATTTTATTCATAAACTGATTCTCTGTTGAACATTACGTAACTTTTATATAGAGTTGCTTGTACTCTTAAGTGCAACAAGGATTTATTTTCTATATAAGAAAATACTAATGGTCAATTAGAATTAAAAAAAAAAAAACCAATAAAGCTAATTACTCTTTAGGAAAAATAAAATACTAAATAGTAAGCAAATCCTAGACCTAGACAATTTTTCCAGATTTTCCAGCAAATCTGGAAATTACTGAAATAACCTTGTCTACCAAAAGACATAAATTTTGTTTCTTTTTTTGCCTGCACCATTCTCCCTTGGTTGGAGAAAAATGGGCCTCAAGTTTTAAAGTGCTACGGTAGTAAAAACCACACCTTCCACACTTCCTCACATTGCTAGAAGACACTCCTTTGACTTGATACTGATTATCCTTTTGCTATAAGAGAAAACAGTGAGGGAAAGCATGATGCCTTTCTCTATTATTGAATCACCATACTTGTGTGGAAGGAGGAAGTCAATGTGATCGACTTGTGCAATTTGCTTATCCCTGTCTTGAGTATCCTTAATGATTTGCTATTGTGCCTTCATGGTGTCTACTGTCTTTGGCATATCACTAATAATTTCTTTGACCGCTTCCTTTAAGTGTCCCCTGAATTTCTTTCCTACATGCTGATTTTCAGTTTCTATTTGCTGAATTTTCTCTTCAGACCTTCCCACACTCCTTTGTACTGTTTCTACCTTCTTTTTATGGCCCCTAGGTTACTGGACTTGTTCTTCACTTTGTTGTTCAGACCGGATAGTTGGCTGCATAGGTTTTGTTGCCACTTGCGTGGACCTTTTTGCTGACCAGTTTCTTGTTGCAGTTTTTGATTTGAAAAGTCTCAACATTAGTTTTTCTGTTCTAGGGTCCTCTTTCTCAGCATGTGGAGCCATCTTTATCGTTGGTTGTATTGGCAGCTCCACTTGTTGGTTTTAGCCTTTCAACTCTTGGATTTGATTTTTGTCTAGTATGGCTCTTAGTATTATAGTACATTCTCAAAACACTAAAATTCGAATGTTGAATATCGAAGCTACAACAACTGTAGATACAGCGTCCATGGAGCGAAGCTATAGCTGTAATAGCATTTTTATAACATCTAAAGATAATGAAGGCTAACTCCTCAAACATGATTATAAAATCCGCACAGCCATACCGATTAAACACTTGACTTTGGTCCTCTATAATAGGATACAGCATGTGAAATAGTCTAATCAACAAATGTGAAATCAACTCATAGTTTGCCTCTGGTACTTCTTTTTTAATCATGTCATGATGATTTCTGTGAGGTCCTTTAAGTGTAGGATGCATGTTCTCTCCTTCAAAACTCCTGTTGGGAAACAAAGTAGCTTCTCTTGTATAGAACCAAACCAAACTACAGATTAACTTCAAAAATGAGAAAACCAAGAAAATAAACCAGGTTCGGCAATGTAAGCTCAGAAACAATGATGAAGAAAACAGCAGTAGAACTCCAGCAAGGATTGAACCACGTCTATGCAGCGATCAAGGGATTGTGATTCAGGAAAATTCCTTTTCACTCAATTCTAAATTTGCAGCGGAGAATTGAATCAAATTGAAATATCAAGGTGTGGAGCGAGGATTGAAGTTTTGCTTTGATACCAATTGAAGCAGGACAGCTTTTGGGGCTGTTTTGAATCTCACTTTCAGAGGCTGTTCAGGACTGTGAACAGTGACATGAACAGTAATTTTAGGTCTTAAGTTGATCTTTAGATGGTTAATAACTATAAGATTGATGGGGCTTGAACGCCTGGACGCTAAACCTAAGGGAGATTGAGTCACACAATCAAAAGCCAATTGCTAGAATTTTATTCATAATTCTCTATTGAACAGTTACTCAACCTTTATTGAATTGCTAGTATTCCATGTCCAGCAAGGACTTATTTTCCAATATAAGAAAATACTAATAGTCTGATTAGATTTGGAAAAACCTAATAAAGCTAATTACTCCTTAGGACTAACAAATACTGAGTAGAAAATAAAACCTAGAGATAGAAAATTATTCCAGATTTTCCAGCAAATGTGGAAATTACAGATCCCCTTGTCTGCAAAATGACAAATTTTGCTTCTTTTGTAGTCTGCATCACCTTGCTGTTCATAGGTACATAATATCCTTCATACAGGCAAATTGGCATTGTTCAAAAGTGTTTAGCATTGTTGATTACACAAAGTAGAGCAATGCAGAATTTGACAGCTTGTTTATTCACTCTGATCGTATAACCTTCTGATATTTTTTTCAACTGGGTGTCAATTAGATCAGGTATCCATATATACAACTCCCCCACCCTAGTTAATAAGCATTAATGAAGATATATTCATACTCGGTTCTCTCTTTCATTATATCTTTATTTTCTTTCTGGTCAGACAGCCTACCTGTTACATAACAGATTTTCCAGTGCGTTCTTGTTTACAAGTAAAGATATGTTTGCATTTTGGACAGATGGGTTTCCGATTTGCAGGGAAAGCTGTATCCTCTGCAGTGTGGGTAGCTGCTGTTTCACTATTCATGGAGTTGCTCGGTTTCTCCACCCAGAGGTGGCTTACTGCTGGAGGTCTTGGGACAGTATTGCTGACTCTTGCTGGCCGTGAGGTTTGATTAAGAGTTCTTGTCTTTTTTATTTACCCCTGCTCTTTGGATTTTCTGGACTTGTTAATTCATTTCTGTGTGCGTAGTTGTTCCTCTCATATTTTAACAAATTTTGTGTTTATTCATGCTACAGCTAGTTAGCATGCAGGTTCATTTTCTTCAAGGTTTGACTTTTATATTGTTCATTGTTTCAGATATTCACAAATTTCCTCTCCAGTGCAATGATTCATGCAACTCGGCCTTTTGTTATGAATGAGTGGATTCAAACAAAAATTGAAGGCTATGAAGTTTCTGGTACTGTTGAGGTTTGTATATGAAAGCACATCTCTTTGAAGTTTGAAGAAGCTGCTAGAAAGGAAAAATAAAATATGTAACTTTGGGATATTGTGCTTCAAATCTGTAAATGGACTGCTGGGCGTGTGTGCGTGTGCATGTCACATTTATTAGTAGAGTTTTTTTTTTCCTCTAGACAACTGAAAGAATCTTGTATTGCTTTGACATTGGTAATGATGCCCTGTCATGCGATGGGTGCTTCTTCCTCTTGTTTTCTGCAGCATGTGGGTTGGTGGTCACCAACAATTGTCAGAGGGGAAGATCGTGAAGCAGTTCATATTCCAAACCACAAGTTCACAGTGAATGTTGTTAGAAATCTCAGTCAAAAGACTCATTGGCGTATTAAAACCCACCTGGCCATTAGTCACATGGATGCTCATAAGATTAATGTGAGGATAAAGTTATCTTTTTTTATCTATATTGACCTTTTCCCTTTCAACAATTTAAGTTCTATTTGATATTTCCTCTGTAGCAACTTGGTTGAGTTCTTCTTTCTGTGCAGAATATTGTTGCTGATATGCGCAAGGTGCTGGCCAAGAATCCTCAAGTTGAGCAGCAGAGGTTGCATAGAAGAGTATTTTTCGACAATATCAATCCTGAAAATCAGGCTCTTCTGGTTAGTGCTTTTTCTTAAAAAGGGATGCTTATATTTATCTAACTCCCTTCTCGGTTTAATTATGGCCATTATTTCAAATTTAGGGATGTTCTAAGTTATTGGCTATTGTTATGAATCAAAATATTATTTTGGCATATTTAATTCAAATATCCTATATCGCAATCTTATTTACATGTGAAAATGGACTTCTACTTTTAAAATGTCTAATACAATTAAGGACAAAGTTATTACACTTCTGTAAAAGATGCATTTGTCAAAGGACTTATCTTAAAGGGACCTGTAGGTGGCAGTTATATACTTTTGTTAGCTGTGAAAGGGATTTTGCTTTGAGAGCAGTAAAAGTGTCCAGTTAATCAGTCATTTATTTTTTGTATTCTGATTTATTGGTAATTTGATATATCTCTGTTTATGTTGCTGATATTTTATTGTCTGTGCAGTATTTTTTTTTATCAAGTAAAAATTATTAATTTCCAAAACAAATTGAGTACGGTTGACATGTTAAATTATCAAAATATGCAGAGATTTGAGGCATTTGACGACTATGAATTGCTGAGTGTCATTTTGAATGCAGTTGACATGATAAATTGTCAAAATATGCAGAGATTTGAGGAATTTGACGACTATGAATTGCTGAGTGTCATTTTTCCTCCTTGCAGTATTTAGTTCTAGGAAAATGCATGTGCATCCAAACAGCAGCCTAAAGCCTGAGTTTAATGCATGGTTGATTCCAGATTGGTATTATTGAGGGAATTTTTTAAAGAATCTGTCATTGTTTTGGGCATATATGATAGAAGTATTGAGACCATTTGTTTCTTTTTTCATTTTTTTAAAAGAATGATACAGTTTAATTATAGTGATAAAAAAGTATAAAAAGACCATATCTTGGCTTCATGCCTTTTATCCTTTCTTTCTACGCGTACTGAAAAAATGATGAGAAATTTGCAGTTCTACTTAGCTTAGGCTCAAATTTCCCCATGCTAGTTCATGAATATGGGCAATATGCACCCTTTTTTATTATTTTTTTTGGGGGTGAAATGTGTGACATGCACTCAGTAATTGTCAGTAGCAAACACTGAATGCTTTAATTGATAAACTCAATGCTTTAATTTAACAACTGAATGATTTAATGCAGGTTTCATATGTCCATATCTATGTCCTTCATCTTTGTGTTGTGTTTTACAGATCTTAGTGTCCTGTTTTGTGAAGACCTCACATCATGAAGAATATCTTTGTGTGAAGGTAGAGTATTTTTCTATATCATACTTTTTTCCATTAGCACTATCCTATATTGATGAATATAGCCTGTACTAAAATTTTCTATGTAGATGCATTATAAAATTGTGATGGTACTAATGTCATATACTTCATATGTGTTGTACATTAAGAGGTAGAAAACCGAGCACCTCCACCTCCACAACCAAAAAATGAAAGAAATACAAAAGGCCCCCTCAGACTTGAATAACACTTTATGTTTCTGTGACAAATCCTTTTCCAGAATTCCTGGATACAGCCTCTGAAGACCTTTTTTGCCTATGATACTGTGGAAAACTATTCATGTCATGCTTGCTTTCTGTCAATACACTGTTGGTTGGATATTTTCAGACATGCAACCTGAGCCTGTTGGTGTCTTGTTTGTGCACTTGGCCCAACTTGAACCCAAAAGCAGGATGGGAGACACATGTTGCCACTCAATCTTCCAATCTCTCCAACCCTTTTAACAACAGCAAACGAGGAAAATGCATGTTAATTCTTTATTCTCATGAAACTTATCATTCAATTCCTTCATGCATTATTTCAATTTTCAATCTTCCATAGGAATACAGTTACACAAACTTGTAAATATGCTCGATATGGTAAACTTACATGGGCTGATGTGCATGCAGGCATTTGCACAAATGTGTGAATATATCTAGATATTTAGAAGTCATCATGTCCAACAGAGCTTTAGATTTTGTAATGATATTTGAGAGAGCTTGTATGTGGAAGTTCCCTAAATAGGACACTTTGATTTGGGAATTGTCTACAATCATCATTCTACTGAACTTACTGTATTAAAAGCATGGGTTAAAAAATGCCAATGGATTGTTGCTCAATCGGCTTCTTGTGACTTCTTTTGCTGCTTTTTGATGGACTTTTCTCAAATTTGTTAATGAAGAGAACATAAGGCAGAGAAAAAGAAAAAAAACGAAGCTTGGTATCCTCTACTAAATTGGGTTCAAGTCTCCCCATGATCAAATAAAGCTTCATTTCATTCATATTTGTGGTGTGGAAAGAGCTGTATCATTTTTAATCAAATGTAGATCTGTATCTTTGGATTGTTTTTTGTTTTTTTTTTATGACCTCATATATTAATTTGAATGTTGTTCACTGTAACAGGAAGCCATATTGTTGGATTTACTGAGGGTTATCAGCCATCACAGGGCCCGACTTGCTACACCAATTCGGACAGTGCAGAAAATATTCAGCGACGCCGATTTGGAAAATGTCCCTTTTGCAGATTCCATCTATAACCGTGGTGGAGTGGCTTCGAACCGTCCTTTACTACTGGTTGAACCTTCTTACAAAATCAATGGCGAAGATAAAGCAAAATCACAAACTCGTTCTGGCCGCACAGCTGCAGAGCAAGACAGTAAGACCACATCACGGTTTACAAGTGACGCCAAAGCAGGAACAAACACAAAGTCTGATTCAAGGGCAAAAGAAACACCAAAATCTGACACAAAGGGACATGCTAATATTGGCGAAACACCAAATTTGAATCAAAATAAAACAGCATCTGATGCCAAACCTAAGACTACAAGTCCTGCAAATGCAAGGCAGAATAGTAAGGTAAATAATTCTGCAGTTGACTCATCGGAAGCTAGTACTGAAAAAGTAGGTGGATTGAAGGAATCTTCCCTGTCAAAACAGGATAAAAGGTCAGTTTCTCAGCCATCATTGTCAAGACCTGCGTTGCAGGAAAATATAGTTCTTGGTGTGGCTTTGGAGGGTTCAAAGAGAACACTTCCTATAGAGGAAGACATGGCTTCCCATCCAACTCCAGCGGAGGATAAGGAAGTGGCTGCTGCATCCCAAAATGGAACTGGATCTAAAACTGCTATGAAGGATAGGAGAGATTGTCCGCCGCCAACTCCAAATGCAACATCTGGCGATCAGTAAACCATCTCTATTGATCTCTGCACAAATCATCTCTATTGACCTTTGCACATGTCCTAACTTTTGCTCCTTCGAAACGCAAATTTGACCTCACAAAATCATCTCTATTGATGATTGCACATGTTCTAACTTTTGCTCCTTCGAACTGCTAATCTGGCCAGGAAACCCCAGGTCAGATCTTGGTTTCCACAAAAGCCATACGAACATTGCACATTTGCTTCTTAACATAGAGCTGTTCGGACATTGGTCGATACGCATGTGCTTCTTAACATTCTTCATAGTTAGTGCAGTCCGATTGTACTTGTACCACCTGGCTCCCTTTATAGCAGAAGTACAGAGTAGATTTGTAAATTTTCTTAGCTTTTTACAGGGTTGGTCGTCAACATCGATCTATTTCAATACCAAATCATTTGAGGCTGTCCTGTTACGTTGCTTGATACATCTATTTAAGTGGTAAATAAGGAGTTCATACTTGTTCTCATGTGCTTATTTAGTTTGGTTTAAAATTCACCAAAATTCACAAAGATTGATTAAAATACAGTAAGATGCTTGCTGTATTCAATCGGAGGCTAGCAATTATTGTTCTAAGTGCTAACTGCTGTCCCATGATTTTCGGACAAGACCAGCTTGTTAGAGACCAGGATGAAATGGTCTCCAGCATGAAATCTGTCTAGATCATGTCATGTAACATTTCCCAAGACAGTTTGCGAATAAATACGGTACAAATACAGCTGTTAACTATTGAATGATTGAAATACAGTCCTGGTCCAGAAGCTGACCACAAACCAGAAGAAACCCAGAATCTGACAAAACACATTGAATGCAATCCATTTCCACTCACTAAAATGTTACAACAAGAGTACTTAATAGTGGGAGAAAGAAATTCCTGTTTATTTATGGTGTCAATAATACAAGCCACAAACAATAGTTGTGGTGATAAATCAATAGAATGCAGATAATTTTAGATCCTTCAGATAAATCACATTAAGCATGGCACATGCAATCAGGCGCAGGATATGTATAAATGGATTGTTTCGGTTTTCTTAGTCTGATCTGCCCTTGTCTGTTTTCATGTCCTTCAACAACTGCTTGCTGAAAGTCTGACCAACTAATGGTTTTGTTAAGGAACAGCTGGCCCAACAAAGCCATATTCGGCCTTATGGTCTTCGAATTGTCATAAGTCCGATGACCGACCTGTAGACATCACAAAATTTTTCATAAAGCAAACTTTCGGAGGAATTTTACTGACGCACCATCAAACTTTCTATTTCTTAACACCATTACAAGTGATTAACACCATTACAAGTGTATATATATATATATATATATATATATATATGTAAAAAGTACCCCTTTCAACGCATCTTTTTTTCGTAAAATACGTGATCGGTCAGCAAGCTAGGATAGGTAGGATTTACATCATAGAATTGAACCCATTCTCCTCTATCTATTTCTTATTTCGACTCGTTCTGTTATCAAATTGTAAAAAAGAAAACAAAGAAGATCTCTGCACTGTTATAAGTAGTTAAATCTAAACTAAATGCTCCTAACTGCCAATATCTTTTCATAGCTGATCAAATTAACAAGTAGTCCAAAGTGTTTTCAGTTGTTCTCATATCTAAATAAGTGTGAAATCCCACTTTCTATTGTTTCAGTTCATAGAAGTGGGTGCCGTATTTCAATAATGGCAAGCATCACATTACAAGCTAAAAGCCACACGACCATGATAAAAAATAAATTAATTTTTTTTTTTTTTTTTAAAGAAGTGTTACTATCTGTACTGTTACTTGTACCCCGTTCGTTCAAGATTAAACTTGAGCAGTAAGGTGCAGACCACAAATCATTAGCTCAACTCCATGTTTACAACAGCCTTGCTGTATAATGTGCAGTAAAAATAAAGTTCATAAATCAGCAATGAACACTCACCAATGCATTGTGCATATTTCCTGGAGAAGCAGAGACGAAGATGTCACTGTGCATGCCAACATAGTAGTCGACTGCAGCTAGCAGGGAAGCTTTTCCTTTGATCTGTGCTCGCTCCATTGAAGATGCAAGACTTTTTTGTCTTCCATTAGTGGAAATAATTTTCGTAAAGTTGAAATCCTCGCCTCTCCACCATAAACCTGAGAAAACATGGCCACTCACACAATCATAAATATCCTTTTCAATGTCTATGTAGGAATGCTATAAACCCAAATTAGTAGGCTAAAAGACCTTATGGGAAGCTAGATATAGACGAGTGCTATTGTCAAAGCCCAAAGCCGCTAGCAGCAACCCAATCTCTTCTGGAGTCAGTGGACAACGCCCCTGACTTCTCAACTCTTCATCAGTAAATTGGGAGTTAAGCACTCTTCCCTGCCAAATCACCTGTCGGTACTTGGCCAGAGCCAACTTTTCAGCTTTCCCTCCACCAAAATCACAGGCTGAATGAGCAGCCATATCCTGCAAAGTGATAGGGTTAGCCAAGGGTACATGAACAAAGGGATGCACAAGCCCAAACAAAAACATACTATATTGATATTGCTAAAATCTGATGGGTCATTTAGAGAATAACAAAAATGTGACTTGACTTCAGTTGCTTTATATTAGAATTCGGTCATACCTTATCAAATCGAAGGTGTACCACAACAAACTTCCCTGTACTGTCTTTATCAACCACATCAGTGGTTTCCTGTAGGTAGTTGGCACCAAGTGCTTCACTCTTATTAGGATACCTGAGGCGACTGACAAGAGCATCTCCAAGTGCTCGAATATGTGGAACGAAAACTAATGCTTGAAAATTGACTTTACAACGTAGACGTTGGATGTCCATAGGCAAGTTATCAAAAGACAGGCGGTGAGAGAATGGGGAAACTGCAGCAATGCCATAACTGGAACACATGACAGATTACTAATTATAGAATTGAGAAGTCAAAGAAAGAAGAGGTTATAGAGTTGTGCTACTCCATAAAAGGCATAGTTCGAGTCACCATTGCTAAAATTCACTCCATAAAATTATTGGGAACACAGATATGGACTGAATAAAAGAAGTTTCAGCTACCCTTATTCATGCAGATGCACATATTTGACCACTAAAACTGATGTTTTATCCTCTAAGCTAAATTATCATTTGAAGGGGCCATTGCTTGGTGTAATGATAACAATTATGGGTATGCAACAGTAATTGTGCGTGTTCAAGTCTTGAAGGAGCCAATTCCATGCAAAAATGCAGGAGCAGGAAATGCCTGCAATTCTCCTCATGATCACAGTTCAGTAAGACCATGTATATGGGGAGTTGGCTTGTTTCTTTAAAAAAGGGAGACATATTAGACAGATAATAGCATGCGGCGACCGGAAATCATGGGTGAAAAATGTAAAGAACAAGATTAAATGTACACTTAGAGAAGAAGATACGGGTATAACAACCTCTGCAGCACAGGCGAGACATTCTCGAGATACCAATTAGCTGAAGCATGGACAGGTGCCATCTTAATTCGGGTAGCTCGAATAGCTGTGGCATAATACTCCCTCGTGCTCCAGGAGAATTCATCAGGTAGTTCTTTAACTATAGAAATGTCATCCTTCAAGACATTAATAAAGTGATCCACATCAAATATATCCATGAAGGTGCTGCAGAGAAAAGTATGAAACTTCAGAACAATGACTTGTTGATCCATTGAATAAAGAACTTCATACAAGCAAGTGTGCAAAGCAATACCTAGAATCTTGCCAAACAGGATTGACTTCAAAATGTGGAATGACAAGTGTCGCATTAAGTATTTTAGCAACAGCAACCGCATCACATATCTATTGATAGTAGATTCATATCATGAGTAACTGACTGTTAAAGCAGAAGCAAGGATGCAAAAAATTAATCAAGAAGAAGAGAGCTTTGTTTACACATACCCCCATCCTTTGCTGGTTCAACCCTCCATCAAGAAACACTTGAAGATATCCCTCAGATTTCTCAGGTAATGCTGCTCAAAATAATGGACAAGCCAGCCGGTCAAAAAACAAAAACGAAACACAACTTTCAGTCACAATTTCCATGGGAGGACTCGGTCGAATTACACAAATAAAACTCAAAGAAGGACACCATGAATCATCAATACTCACAAGGGGCATTTGTTGACTCAACACATGGTCTCCATCCTTGATCATCCAAAGGTGTCCAAAGATCAGACTGCTTTTCATTCAACTACATAAAGGACATATATGCATATATTTAGTAAAAGTAAAGACTCTTTAACTTATCACAAAAAGGAAAAAAAAAAAAAAGGAACTTGAAAGTGAACTGTTTGTTACTCACAATCGGACGCTGCAAAGCACTCTTCAGCAGAGGCAGATGCCTAGGTTTTGGAGCATTCAATTCCTTCAGTAAACAAGACAGCAATATAATAAGGAAAAATCCGAACCCAGTTTTCTTTCTTCTTTCCAAGAAAATGAAAGCAATAACCAAACATGAAATACTAAATAAGTGCTCTGTTAATCATAGTAAAAAAACAAAAAAAAAACCAAGAAAAGATACCGACCGACAAGATAGAAGGAGAGGCATGGGTGAATGGAGCATAGAAGGCAGGAAAAAACAAGAGTAAGAGAGCAGCAAAAGCTCCTCTTGTTTGCAGCAGCTTCATCATCCCTAGATAGCTCCCACTTCCAACTCCACAACTCAGATCTCAAAACTGGGTTATCTTTGCCTTTTGCTTATCTTGGTCCTATCCTATCCCTCCAAGTTAGAAACTTTAATGGAGGAGCGTAGAGAAAGAACCCATTATCACAAGCACCTAAGTACTACTTTGAGGTCTGTAAAAAGAAATAAAGGAAGGAAAAGCAAACATAAAAAGAGTTAAGGCATCTCCCCCCACCTCTCTCTCTCTCACGGATATTAGACACCTGTACAGCAAAGTTAGCTTTGGCTTGATTACAGACAGGTATCCCTATCGTGGGCCCCGCACACAAGACAAGATCCCTTGCTTCTGTTCACTCAGTGTTTCTTTCTTCCAAGGTGGTAATAGAAAACACTCTGTCTATCTTAATCAGTTGATGCTGATTATGCATTATTTTAATATTATCCCATAGCATCAGTAGACTAAGAATTCCTCCAAATAGAATGTGATGACGCTTCTTAATTCTTATCTTTTCCACTATCTCTTTGTAATTCTCTCCATTTTTTCGACCTTGACAAGATTGGCTACCAGCATTTTGAGGCTTCTTAGGGAGATTGGAATCAGATTGGCCGTCGGGCTCATTCAACTTTTTCCATTGATGAATATGTACATAATTATTTTATATATATATATATATATATATATATATATATAAGTAATCTCAAGAAGTTGGCCACTTGATCTAGTATTTAAAAAAGTATGTTTTGATTTAAATTATGGAGTTAGAAAAAATATTTAGAAAAATTTATTAAATTTCCTTAATTAGATTACTCTTTATTTCAAAGAAATTGTCTCATTTGATTTTTTTATATAGTTTTAAAAAATTATAAATTATTTAGTATTTTTGGGTTATACTTTTTTAAAATAATTTTTTTGATAAAATTTTTATTTATCAAATTTAATAATGTATTATAAGAAAATAACATTAATTTAAAAAAATCATTAAATTAAATTTTTTTAACTCACACATTCAAAGCTCTTAGTATAATTAGTCTGTTAAAATTTTAATCTGCCGATCTCTTACTATAAAAAAAATAATATCACTCGAGTTATAAGCTCTTTCGTTAAATTAATTGATTATCTAATTTAAAATAATTAAAAAATTACAAATTAATAAAAAATATTTTACTTTTAAAATTTCAGCATGCAATAAAAGTTCTTATAAAAATAAATATTTTTCATGTAACGAAAAATTATTAATGTTTTGTTGGTAGAAAACATGAAATGAAAGAAAGAATTGGTTTTTTTTTATTAATTAAAAAATATATTATTTAAAATTTTAATCAGATAAATATTTTAAAATATATATAAAAATAGAAAGAATATATTTTTTTTTGTGCAGATAAAATAAAATATGCTGATGATATTCTTTTCAGTCCAATCAATAAGAAAGAAAGAAAGAAAAAGAAACTATTTCGCATTTAGGATGCTTTCTTGTGAATGGGTGCACCGACACTCTCTAATTATATATATGGTTGTACCGTTGTGACCGTGGCAGTGACGGAAAGGGAAATTGGGAGATCACTCATTGACTTGGGCCCCATGCCTTGCAGCTGGAACGATTGTGATGCGATCATCCATGAATAAAATAGCCACCCACATAGAGATGGGCTTGTTAAGTTGTCGGTCTTGGACCAAACATTACATAGGATCTTTTCTCGTCAAAAAATGTAAGTCTAAAGGAACTTTTATTCATTGCAACCACACCGAAATATGAGTTCGGTGATCGAAAAAAAAACTATACGTGTTTTGCTGTCGATTGAAAATCAATTAATACTAAATTTATTATTTTTCAGATTAAATCGATGACAAAATATACTTAGGTTTTGTTCAACCATGGAATTGATATTTAGATCAAACCAACTTAAATCTTATATTACTAAAAAATAATTATTAAATTGTCAGTTTTAGATAAAAAATTACATAGGATCTTTTCCCGTTGAAAAAAGTAAGTAAAAAGAAATTTTACTCGTTGCAACCACACCTAAATATGAGTTCGGTGTTCGATTAAAAGCTAAACGTGTCATGTCGTCGATTAAAAATCAATCAATATTAAATTTATTATTTTTTAGACTAAATCAACGACAAAATACGTTTAATTTTTATTCAACTACTGAACTGATATTTAGGTCAAACCAACTAAAATCTTATGTCACTAAAAAATAATTATAGCTAGTTGCCTATGGATAAAAAAAATAGAATCGTTATTTTAATCAAATCAAAACAACTCTTTTATCATATTAGCAATATATATAAAAACAGCTCTTTTATTAGATTAGCACCAACAAAATTTTTCAGATGAATCTCTGAATTTACCACCAACAAACTATATTATATAGATTTATTTATTTTTTAGTTGTAGACAAATGATTTACATTGACCTACGTAGCTATTAACAACAAATTTATTTATTTAAGTAGTCGTTTGCTATTTCGTTGGGGATTTAATATAATTTTGATATAACTTTAAGGGTTTATTCGTGTATAATTAATTATTTTATTGTTTAATTATATTAGTTTGTTTATTGTCATTGTCATTATATTTATGTTTATTTGTTTGGTTTCTATTATATTTAAACAAGAATATTAATAGATTTCACATTTATTAAAAATACTTAACCTAAATTTTGTATAATTTTTATAGATTTTATGTTTTCCCGACTTGGTCTTGGTATTGATGTTTAATTTTTTTTTATTGAAATTAAATTTAAAAAATTGTTATCCTAAAACTAAAATAAAAAATAATTAAAATTTTAAAAAATATGCAATATATTTTTTTTTCGATGCATGTCCAATTTAAATTCTTAGTTATTGTCAATTTTTTGAAAGAAGTATTGTTCTATCACTTGATTTCATAATTTTGTTATGAAAAATGGCTTATTTGAAAAATAAGAAGGTTAAAAATGGCATAGTTTTTAGTTAAGAACTTTTCTCATATTCTTTTTTTTTTTTCCAACTTGGCATCGATGTTTTGATTTTGTTTTCTACGTGTGTGGCAAAAGAGATCCAATTTATGCGTTAATATTTTAATGCAAAGCAAAGTATTATTAGTTAATATTTAAATATATTGACATATAAGCCTTCCTCGTGAGTTGATTTATTGATTGGTAGTCGAATGCCTATATAATTTATAAAGTGGCTCGATTTTAACCATTTAATTGCTTATCAAAATTTAATTCGACTATAATAATATTTTTTTTGCCACGTAAGATAATTTGACGTTCAATTATCACTGCTATCTCATCAGTGCATCTTCCTAATTAACATAAAGAATATCGAATTTGATACTCGTACGAGATGCTTAACCTAATATTAAAATATTTAAAACCTATTCACAATTTGAATCATTTTCTTACCAGCTAAACCTCATTTTATATTATTATAATTTAACTAAAAAAATATATATTGAACCTTATTTTAAATGTGTAGGGTTATTATTTATTGATTCAAACAAACTAACTTAATTAAAAATACAAAAAATAATAAATATTCACACATATTCACACATATAATATATTTTACATTTTCTACTCGTATTATTATTATTATTTAATCCAACGATAGGAAAATTTATTGCTGAAAGATGAATATAAGGTGAAATTTATAACTTTAAATAGGCACCCAAAACAAATACATGAGGATACAATCTAAAGAAGAAATGAAAAGAATTAGAACAGACATAATCTTAACTACTTCAATGGTACAAAAAAAAAAAAAAAAAGAAACGATGAGTAAATTATAAGTTAGTTCCTCTTGTTTTGAAAAACAACGTAATTAGTCCCTTTCGTTTCAATAATTAATTATTTAGTTCTTATGTTTTGAAATTTACTTGCAATTTAGTCATTTTGTCCTTTTTTATTTATTTTGATTTTTTATTTTAAGAAATAGAAAAATAAAAAAATATGAAAAAAATTAATGGAGAATAAAAGATTTTATGAAATAAAAATAATATTAAATTAGGCATAGTCAATACTAATTAAAGACCTATACATACATGCATGCATATGTATATACATGTAATTATATATGTATGGTGTCCTAATCGAGGAGAAGATAGAACGAGATAATGGATTCGGGTATTCAAATCACAACTCTAGGTGGGCTTTTTTGGGAGACAAATGACTACTAGTGTCGCTACCCGACGTCTAGGAGACTTAAAAAAAAATATTTATTATTTTATTTGTTTTGACATTTGGGGACATGAGTTGACCAATTTTTTTGAGCTATCACCTCTTATTAAAAAAAAAAACTAGAAAGCCTAAAAATGATACTCGATTTAGAGATTTTGTAGAATAAAATTAAGTATAGTCAATACTAATTAAAGACCTATATATACATGTATACATATATATGTATATATATGTATAGTGTCCTAATTGAGAAGAAGATAGAACAAGATAGTGGATTCGAGTATTCGGATCACAAATCTAGGTGGGTTTTTTTGGAAGAGAAATGGCTACTAGTGTCGCTACTCGACATTTAGGAGACTTAAAAAAAAATTAATTATTTTATTTGTTTTGATCATCTAGGGACATGAGTTAACCTACTTTTTTTTTAGTTGTCACCCGAGTATCAAAGAAAGCTGAAAAACCTAAAAATGACACTAATTTAGAGATTTTAGGATAGGAAGTTGATTATGTTTTTTGAAAGATATCAATCACCTAAAGACACTATCTTTGATAAAATATATTATATCTGGTTTAATCCTAAAAAAATATCTCCTAAAATTTTTTATTTTTGCCAAATTATTTCTAAGTTAATTTTCAAGTTTATTACCTAAGCTAAAATAATTTTTTTATTTTTATTTCTAGCATCATGTTGAATCGAACGTTGGACTCCGTCTTTGGAAGTCTCGTCAATTCAACATCAAACCTAGTTTAAATCTAGATATAAATGGTATGTCAAAGAACGATCTAATTACTAAAGATGATTATTTTAATTTACTAACATTAGTCCCTACGAGATAAGAGACTTGTTAAATTAACTTAGCATTCTCTCTATTTTTCTTTTGTTCTTTTTATTTTTCTTTATTTGTTTTTAATTTTTCTATCTTGCTTTTCTTTGACATTTTTAGAGTTATGGAACTGATGAAGTATCATCATTAGTCTCTAAAATTTAAGAGACTCGACGACCCACTATCTTATTAATTACCTAACTAAACTAGTGAATATTTAATAATGTTTAATGCTAAATAAATCTGAAAATAATTCAAAAAATTAAAGGATTTGATACACAACCTACATACAAGCATACCATCATTTACTAAAAATTTCAGATTTATTTAGCATTAAACAATAGACTAAGCTGAAATTTAAAGCATTAGAATAATTAATAATTAGGCATGAAATTAAATAAACTAAAAAGAAATGGGCAAATAAACTTCAAAAAATTCTGAAAAACTAAACTTAAGCTAGAAATAAAAACATGAAATATACATAAAAATTTCAAATTTAATTGAGTAAGAGAAACCAGTTAAATAAATCCTAAAAAAAAAAAAGGCATCGGGCCGTTGGACCCATTAGGCTTTAGCCCACTGGACATGCCCAAGGCCATAAAACACAACCCAAATCTCTCTCTCTCTTTCTTCCTTTCAGACCAGGCCTGAGCCTAGCAGCCAACCCCCCCCCCCCCCCCAACCCAAAACCAAACCCCTTTTTTGCCTTTCTTTCTCTCCTCCCTCTCTGTCCCAGGCCTTCTCTTTTCCTTTCTTTGTTTCTCTCATGGCCTCCTTCTCTTATTAACTAAAAATATCATAAAAAAAATAATAAAATAAAATGATTTAATGATGGTTTAAAACCGTCACTAAATCCATTTTTAACTTTGCTCATAATTAGGGATAGTTAAGAAAAACCATCGTTAAACAATTATATATTTAGCGAAAATTTAAACAAAAATTATCACTAATTAATTAGCGAAAAGGTTGTTGACAATGCTATTTAGCTGTCGTAAAACCGTCACTAATTATAATTGGCAATGATTTAAACCGTTGCTAATTTTTTTTTTTTTGTAGTGCAGTGCGTGGTCCTACAGGGACAATAACATTGGGTTTTTATATCAACCACTGGAAAATGCAAGTAACTGTGCAATTTGAAACATATAAGTATAATGAAATGTTTTGGTATATATAAAACATTTTAGTAGATCTTTCGGATAGATAAACTCCCAAAAATGTCTATAGATGCCTTTTAAATCCTCTTTTAATCATGGATACAAGGTCTCCATACATATAAATGATTGTTTTGGTTAAAAACATGTCTTCTTTTTCATTAGGAATATGTGGTTTGTCGATGAATACAAGGTGCTATTTAAAGAAGAATGGTACAATACACGTGGTGTAAGAAGAACACTAGTTTTGTATAAAAAGAGAAGGAAACGTAAGGCACATAATTAATGCAAGTTAACAAAGGTAATGATGTTTCTTGTACTATGTTTCTTGTACAATTATCTCAACTGACCCAATTTAAAATTGCATAATTTCTAAATAATTACACTAATTTTTAATTTTTTTAATTAAATATAAAAAGAGAAGGAAACGTAAGGCACATAATTAAGTTTTTTTTAATTTGAATACATTAATTTTTCAAAACTGTAAATCAAATACTTTTTTTTTTTAATTTTTTCGTTAACTAACAACGAATCAGTTATCTTCAAAATATCAAAAAAATAAAATTTCTCATTCGAGTACATAGATTTTAATTTTTTATTTAAATATATTGATTTTTAAAAAATTATCAATCAAATATTGTCGTTAATTTTCCCGATTGATGAAGTATTTGCCATCCCATAATACTAAATTATAAATTTGCTCCTCTTTTTGTTGGAGAAAAATTTCTTTTAAATTATTCTATTATTTTAAAATTTGATAAACACGAACATTATTTTGTAATATTTTAAAAAATAATATTTTGTAATTATAAAACCCCAAATTAGATTCCATTAGGTTTAGACATGAAAATTGATTAAGAAAAAACTTAAACCTAAAATTTTTTATCAAAAAAATCCGTTGTTCATAAGTATTTAGAGCGAAAGTTTCACCTAATCAAAAGAGAATAAAATTATAATTTGATATTTAAACATAATGAATAAATCATCAGTTAACAAAAAATTTAATAAAAGTATTTGATTAATAATTTTGAAAAAAATTAATGTATTCAGATAAAAAAAAAATTAAAATTTATATACTCAATTGAGAAGAAAATAAAATTGTAATTTGCTATTATGAGACCACAAACATATCATAGGTTAACAAATGTACTTGATTAATCGTTTTGAAAAAATTAATATACTCAAAATAAATAAAACTCATATCCTAGATTGAAAAAAAAAAACGAATGTACCAAAAGCGCAATTATCTCAATTTAAAATGCATTTAAGATGTTGAAATTAGTTGAGCAGCTCAACAGCCACACCTGCACCTCTTCAATTTCAATAGCCTGCCCCTCCTTGCCTCTCTTATATTCATTTATTCATCCGCTAATCTGGTCGTGACCTTCTCCGACTGTCTATAGGTAGGAATTAATTGCTTTCCCCCTATAACTCCAAATCTCTCTCTAGCCTTCTTTGTCCATAATGGCGGGGGTTTTGTCACTCCTCAGGCGCCTATACCTCACGGTCTATAACTGGACAGTCTTCTTTGGCTGGCAAGTTGCATCGCAACAACACCTCTTCTCTTAGATCTTATTGATAAAGACGTCAGTAAAAAAGAGCTATGATGTTTTTGTTTCAGGTCTCAGGTGTTGTTTCTTGCAGTGAAAACTTTGAAAGATTCGGGCCATGAACATGTCTATAATGCTGTCGAGAAGCCCCTTCAGCTCGCTCAAACTGCTGCTGTTTTGGAAGTATTCCATCACTAAGACTACATGCAACTTCATTTCGTTTTTTTTTCCCTATTAGTGACTTGTCTAAATTTGCGCCCCCCCCCTTTCTTTTTGCATGTGTGGATCTGGTTTCAATTTCGTTATGGGGCGTAGATTCTTCACGGTCTAGTTGGTGGGTACTCGCTTTCTTTCTCAAATTTCTTTTCTTTTCTCCTTTTTTCCTTGTGTTTTCAAAATTTGTTTGGTTTTATGCAATTATAAAGGATTGGTGAGGTCTCCAATAACAGCAACACTGCCCCAGATAGGCTCAAGATTGTATCTAACATGGGGCATCTTATATAGTTTCCCCGAGGTGAGAATTATTTTTCCTTTTAAACTAATAATATTGCTGTATTGGAAAGGAATTTGAACTGACAGTGCTTATGTTTTGGATAATCTGCAGATTCGATCTAACTTTCTTGTTACTTCTTTGGTCATTAGCTGGTCAATCACTGAGGCAAGTATCGTGTCCAAAGTGACTGGTGTCATCAGTTCTATGATTTTGAATGTTTAATTTAGGAAATAAGCAATTAGAAATGTTGATCAGAATGAATCTGTGGCAGTTGGTTGCGAACAGGATGAGCACCATCTATATGAGAAAATTACAGTGATCTGGTGGTGAAATTGATCTCTTGATATATATTTCTTCTTCCTTTTGGTCTCGCTGCTCATCTTGTTTATTCTTTCAAGTATTAGTTCTCTCATTATGTGTTAATGTTGCAACATCTGATCTCCCAAATCGAAGGGTTAATGATGTAGAATAAAGGTTTCTATAATTGCACTTGATTAGGGGCTTCCTATTTAGCAGAAGTGAACTATTTTTATATCACTATGTTGCTAAAATTCTCGTCATAAGCATTTCTCCTACCTGTCAAAGATGAGGGCAATTTTGTTCGCCTTAAATTTTTCATATGTAAAAGATTGCTTCCATATTCTTTATTTCCGAAAAGCTACACTTGCTTCAATATTAGTTATTGACTATTCCCTATTGTTATCTGTTAGTACTGGAAATTTTATAACATTAGCTTTCTGCAGTCAAAATAGCATGGAAGTAAAATGAAAATAGCTAAACACTGGATTTGATGACTATTCTTGCGATGACATGTAAAAGAAGATAAAGACATTATAATAGATGAATTTCAAGTTCACTCTTCTGGTTGATTGTCTCAGTTTGCCACCTGGGCATGTCGAAACTCAAGGCCAAGTTTCTTCAACCAAAGGAAAAGTGGTGGGAAATGAAATGTTTTATTATTGATTAGCAGTTTAGAGAATTTTATTAATTCCTCCTATTTGACAGCTAAAGTAGCTTTCATTGGGAATTACTTCTATTTCATGTTTTGTAGATTTTCTTATGATTCAGTATTCCCTTTCCTATTGAATTTAGGTTTTCCAATTCTATAATAGCTTTGGTTCCTCTATATAGCAGCCTGGTTAGATATTCTTGATAGGGTATGGATATTGTCAAATTTATTGAGTTTTCAGAAAAAAGTTCTCTAATTGTATGTTTTCCTCTATCAAATGGTTCTACATATCATATTTGCTTGAAATTGGACTTGAATTCAGAGAAGGAAAACCCAAGTTGCTGAGAAAAGCCTTATTTAAAATCACATGCATGATTGCTAGGAATATTTAGGCAGGAAAAACAAGATACTAAGATCTTTTCGCTTCAAAACAAGTTTCTTGTATTCATTGAATACTGACCTTTTTATATATATATATATATATGTGCTATAATTGCAAGATACTTTTTGCCTGATGTTCTGTACTCTGCTAGTGATTGATATGGAAAAGAAATTTAAATTCCCGTAGGGCAATTTAAATGTTGTTTCATTTTTGACTTTGCAGATTATTCGGTATTCTTTCTTTGGCATGAAGGAGGTACTTGGTTTTGCACCTTCGTGGCTCATGTGGCTCAGGTATAATATCATGCATTTGCACTCATTAGGTGGAAGTGGTCGAGTCATACTTGGCTATTTCATTAACATTCAATTATGCTGTTCAGGTATAGCACCTTTTTGCTGTTGTACCCGACTGGTATCAGCAGCGAGGTTGGTCTAGTATATTTTGCCTTGCCATACATGAAGGTAACAAATATTATTCAATGATGTTATGCAAATTATTTTAGGTCCATATGCTTGTTGGGAATATCCTCTAGTCATGTACAAAAAAATTTCTTGTTTAGGTTTATAGAAGATGTAGTAAGTTGTTGCTTGGAAGTATATTCAAAGTTCGACGGAAGGTAATGGCGATTGTGGGAGCATGGAAAACCACTTTATCAAAAACAATCAGATCATATTTTATAATTTTGCAGCAACCTTATGATTAACAATATTACTAATCATAGCACAGCTTCTTTTTAACAGACGTTGTACTTCTGAGCGTCCTGAATTATAAACCTTTATCAAATTTTGTGATAGATATGAGAGGAAATTAAAAAAAAAGAAACAAAGTGTGGCGCAGGAAACTTTGCAAGCATTTGTAGTTGTATTTTGTGTTTACCGTGTTACGTTGTGTGTGTTTACCATTTTATCTACGAACCCCTATCCTTACTTGTTTTTCCTAAGACAGAACAAAATGAAGCTGTTAACAGAAGTATCTGTTTGACATACAACTCGCTTAATAAGCAACTTTTTTGCAGGAATCTGAGAAGTATTGTATAAGGATGCCCAACAAATGGAACTATTCTTTTGACAACTTCTGTGCTGCAATTCTTGTACTTGGAACTTACATCCCAGGCATGAACCTAGAATAGCAGATTTTACCCAAGTATTGGCTTTTGCTTGTAATTTTACCATTGTTGACAATTAACTTATTCGACGTCATGGTTTGTTGCAGGCAGTCCTCACATGTACGGCTATATGCTTGGGCAGAGAAAGAAAGCTCTCTCAAAATCGAAAAGGGAGTAGAAATTGTAGCATGGCTGCAAAATTTCCAATATGATGCCTATGATTTATCAGTGCTATGACAATATAGTATGTAATTCTATTTGAAACTCTTTTCTTCTTCTTTTTTTTTGGGCATCAAGCATCCAGTCACAAGGAAGGTTATTAATAGAATTTTAAGAAAATTGCTCTCCATTCTCGCAAAAGTCCTACAATTTTCTTCGCCTGTGTTTCATGATGGTCAGCAGTGGACGGATTGTGTTTATTTTAGTTGCTAAAAGCCAACCCATGACATCTCATCAAGGGTGTGTTTGTCAAGAATTAATGGATGGATTGATGGGGGGAGAGTGGCTAGTTGGCCATATTATTCTTATCGTTGTAACTTTTAATCCTCTCAATTTGAGCATATTGGCTTGCATCCTCTTGTGATTTCGTTGCTTTCTACTATATAGATTGACTTCATTTTTTTTTAATTGGGTAAACAATTAGATGGATGGTAACTTATCCATCCATTCATTTTATTCCATCCATCTTCCCTCCTATCTTTTTCCCTTGACAAAGGTAGCCTAAATGAATCATTTGGATAAGGGTGTCGTAAAGTTTATGGATTTGAGTTAGTGTTGTGTATTATTACCTAAAATAAATATCTATTAAAGGGACATGTGTTATTATTTTAGTAACAACATAAGTTTTTTGTATGTGACTCATGCAGGTAACAATATAGATTACAAGATGTCTTTTTTATTAAATATCGAGCGATTTTGATATTGGTTGATTTTGAATTTTGTAATATATTTTTTTTACAAGTTTTTTTTTTTTTAATCTATTTGTGCAAGATTTTTTTATAGTATAGGTTGTGTTCTTGTTTGATTCTAAGTTTAAAAAGTTTCCTAAATAAGGGATTTTTTTTTTTAAATATGCTCACTTTTTTAGGTTGGTTTATTTTATTCCTTGACAAACAAATAGTTTTTGGGCCATAGATTACTGTTTCAAAAAAGGCTATGCTCATTGTATTTTTTTTTTTTTTTTTTGTGTTAAGTACCATATCAACAAATTTCAATATAATTTTTTTCTAAAGCTCTAAACTTTGGGATTTACCTTTTCTTTTCAAAAAATTTTAAGATTTATTTTGTTTGCATCTTATTTTTGTAAGTTTATTATTTGTTGTTTTCTTTACAACTTTATTTATTGACAAAACTTTGTTTAAAACTTTATTTATTGCTTTCTTTATATTTTTGTTTTATTTTGTTTATAGCTTTATTTATTTGTCTTGACATTTTGTTTACAAGAATAGTTTTGTGTATTACATTCTTTAAAATTTTATTTATTTTTTTATTATATGTTTTTCATATTTGGATTCTCTCTTGTTCATTGTAAACATAATTGGTCATATTTTAAATCTCATCGTTGGTTTTGAATTCAATGATCTAAATAAGATAAAAGAAACAAAATAATGAGCTATGTTGTTTTTGTTTTTATTATGTACTAAATGATAATTATTCAATTTGAATTTAATGAACAGGATGGTCATGTAAGAATATGAGAGAATTTCAATCCCTTTTTTTTATTTAAAAAAAGCATAAACTTGTCATTTTATCTTAGTTTTTTTTACTTGTTCTTGGTTGTTGTCGCTATCCGATATTTTGGAGGCTTCTAAAACATATATATTGCTAAATTTTATTGTTGATTTTTTTTTATTATTTATTAGGGATGTGACTTAAATCATGTTTTAGAGTCATTATTTATTATTAAAAGAAACTAGAAAACCTAAAAATGGTACTCGCTCATAGATTCTAGCGAAAAGAATTGCTTATGCCTTTAAAAATATATCAATCATTCAAAAACATCATTTTTTAAGAAATGTAATATGTCTAGTTTAATTCTAAAAATTTATCTCCTAAAAAGTTTTACTTTTACCAATTTATTTCTACGTTAATTTTTAAATTTATTATCTAAGTCAAATTAATTTTTTTATTTTTATTTGTGGCATCATATTAAATGGATTGTCGGACCCTGTCCTCAAGAGTTTTGTCAATTCAACATCGGATCTAACTTAAGTCTCAACATAATTAGCATGTCGAAGAACAACTAATTACTAAGGTGATGGGTTTGAATTAATCAATAACATCGAGTCCTTATTAAATAAGAGACTTGTTAATCCAAGCATTTTTCTATTTTTTTTGTTCCTTTCCTTTCCTTTTTTTTTTTTCCTTTTTATGTCTTTTTTTATCATTTTTCTTTTCATTTTCATTTTTTTTCTAAGGTTGTGAGAGAATCCTCATTAGTTCTTAAAAATTAAAAGATTCGATTATTCATCCATTTATTTATTACCTATCTTAACTATTGGTTATTCAAGCAACATTCAATATTAAAATAAGTATGAAATTAAATTAACGAACCCTACAAAAATGCATAGGAATCTAAAATCTACAACCATAGTTTCAAATTTAATTAATATTAGATACTAAACTAAACTGAAATTTAAATACCAAGTGAAATTAATAAACAAACATTAAACTAAATAAATCAAAATAAATAAGCAAAAAGAATTTAAAAAATTCTGAAAAAAAAATCAAATTTAGACTAAAAATGTGAATAAGAAGCATGTATAAAAATTTAAGATTTAATTTTCCTACAAAAATGGTTGAAACTAAAAAAAAAAAAAAGAAAATAGAGGTTATTGGGCTTTTGGGCCCAATATGCTTTTGACCTATTAGGCCAAATCCACTAGGTAGGCCACTTTAGGCTAAGTTCTCTATGGTTGAGCTGAGCCTCGATCCCGTACCAACTAGCCCAAGTGTTTTTCTTTTTCTCTCTTATCTCCTTTTCTTTTCCTTGGTCCGACCTCCTTTTTTTCTCTCGAGCTAGGTTAGACCCAACCTAGTTTTCTTTCTTTCCTTCTCTACCCTTTTTTTTTTTCCCTTTTCTCTTTCTTGGGTCGAGTATCCTCACCTCTTACTCCCCGATCTCCTTTCTTCTCTCTTGCCCGAAACCCCCTCATAAGGACTCACCTCCTTTAAAACTAATAGTCACAATATATATTCCTCTTTATTCTATCCTTGACGAACCGACAAGGTTGAGCGATAGGGGTTGACCATGAAAGTGGCTTGTCACTTCCATTTACCCCTCAAAAATTTGAATTTAAAAGCTATAACAAAACACAAAATATAAAATGGACAAAACACAAAATATAAAATGGACAAATGATGAGGTGGAAATTACCTAAACGAAGTCGAAGGAATGAAGAACAAGTATTAAAACCTTGATGTTGTTATTTTGCATGTGACTAGAAGACAAGTGGAAAAAGAATTGGACTTGTTGCTGGTTTTAGGACTTAAAAATGATTTAGAGTATGCCCGTAACTAAAGATTGAAGGATTGTGGACTCGAATGAGTTCAATAAACCAAAAAAGCTAATACTCTTTAGCTAGAAATTCAAATTTTCTTACTACCAAAACTCAAAAATTTGAAAACCCAAAAAACTTTTAAAAAATACATCCCCTAGCCGGACACAATGCGGCTTAATTTATAGTCAAATTCAAATGATTTTTTACTTTATGATCATTCATGATCAATCTAAACCATTGCCCACTAAAATCAAAGGACACACTCCCGGTGTGTTTGTGTATATGTGTAGGTGTTGTACTATTGTGGTGCGGAGGTGGGTGCAACACGATTCTTGGTCGGTATAATTGCTAGCCAAGAATCGTTGTTTCGTGCAATTATCTTCATTGAAAACGATGAACAAAATTGAGATAGGTTTTGTACCGCAATGAACCACGGGTTGTTCGCTCCGTAACTTCAATTTGGTTCCCGTGTGTTTTAATTTCCTACAATTATTTTCTTAAATTTTGTTTCAATTATACCTCTATTGGTCGTCAATTTCAGTTCAATTTTATTCAATTACACTCCTATTTCATTCAACTTCATCTTTAATTGTCTCTCAATTTCAAATCTAGTTATTTTCAATTTCAGATCCTTATTCCATTCAATTATACTACTAGCTAATCATTTCATGCAAGATTTTTTGTTTGGTGGTTTTTCAATGTTTATATTTTTTTGTATTTTCATTTTTTTTTACAAACTAATTATGTAAAAAAAAAGAAGATAATCCTTAAAATTAGACATAAAGCTAACAATGGTAAAAATAGATCAAAATAAAATAAAAAATACCAAATAAAAAAAATATAACCCAAATTTTGGGTTATGATAGTTACCCTCTCTTTATAATGTTTACGGTGCAAATGTCAATTGAAGTGTAAAATTCAGATTTGGTTGGTTAGTGAGCTTGTGAAGAAAAAGTAAATCAAATGGCAAAAATGATTTGATTGTCATAAAATACGAAAGCTTTGTTTTCAAGTGCGACTTGTCCTAAAAAGTAAAAATGTGATAACCTTATTTTCAAGGACGGCACTGCCCTAAAAAGTAACATGTGATGGCATTATTTTTAACCTACTATGAAAAGTAAAATACGATGTCCTTGTTTTTAAAGATAGCCTATCTTTACAAGTAAAATGCGATGGTCATGTTTTTAAGGATAACCTACCCTAAAAAGTAAAATGTGATGACTTTGTTTTCAAAGACAACTTGTTATAAAAAGTAAAATATGATAGTCTTATTTTCAAGTATGACCTAAATTGGTTTATTATTAGGCGATCGAGCTTAAAATGGTTTAATGTAATGTGACAGAGCTCGAAATTATGGTATATTATTAGGCAATCGAACTTGAAATGATGGTCCTTTGTTAGGCAACCGAATTTGAAATGATGGTTTATTGCTAGGTGATCAAACCCGAAATAACGATCTATTGCAAGATGATCAAACCTAAAATGATGATTTATTTTTAGGCGATCGAGCTCGAATGATGGCCTATTGTTAGGCAACCATACCTAGAACAATGATAATTGCTAGGCGATCTTACCTAAAATGGTGATTCAAGGAGCATGAGTTTCCTCATGATCTTGTGACTTTCAAATTTCTTGGTTTGCACGACTACCTCGTCTTTTACATTTGTGATTATATTCT